GGATGTCTGCCGCAATTCGACTGAAACAGCTTGCTCAAAAGGATGGAAAAGGTTCGTGTTAAGAATCTGCTTTTCTTACATTGTGAGCAAAATTGACTTTAGCTTGTAACACTTCTTATTTTCAATTGCTTTTGCAGATGTGAGAGTTTGTGTTGTGGAAAAAGCTCCGGAAGTAGGTGCACACACTCTCTCAGGAGCCGTGATCGAGACACGGGCACTTGACGAACTGTTACCGGATTGGAAAGAGATGGGTGCCCCAGTTTTTGAGCAAGTCAAGGTATCCTTTCAGTTTGAGCGCCAGGCCTGAATATAACTTATATTGTGAAGTTTAGTCAGAATCGGTGGCTCTTTTAACGAAAAACAGGCGAATCCCAATCCCGATGTTCCCCGGCATGCCTCTATACAATCACGGTACCTTATTCAATTTTAACTCTATTTGGAGCTAATTTACCTTTATCTTTTCTATCTAGGGAATTATATTGTTCGTCTTGGCAATGTGGTGAGATGGTTAGGTGAACAAGCAGAAGCTGCAGGTGTTGAAATCTGGCCTGGAGTGGCTGCTTCGGAGGTTTCCTATATAAAAGTTTTTTGGGCAACTTGAAAAAAACATTATTGTTCAAGGTACCGTAATAACTTCGTATAGCATAAAAGGGAATAGACAACAGCTGGCCTTATCACAAGTGCATCCTCTAGCCTATCATGACGTTTCCTGATTACTTCCGCCCCTAGCTTTCTTCCTTGTTTGCTCACAGATGGCTTTCTTCCGCTAAGAGGTGGCACTCATCTCTTTCTTTCTGGTCCTTTTACTTACACGCTGCTTACCAGGTGTGAAACTTGGTATAGGATGTGACAGCTCAACTGTGTTTCAGGCTTCTTGAGGGAAGTTGGTTGCATGACGTACAATTACTGCGCAATTTCAGGCAGCAGGTTGCATGGAGAATGTCACAAGTGGAATAAGTTGTGCGGTGTAAGGCATGTGCAAAGAATAATCTGTAGGTCATTTTCTAGCAAGCTCATTTTTCGATCATATCGTGTGCGTGTGATTGGGACATTCATTTGAGCGTCGCTATTCTACAGCATTTTCTTCTGTCCGTTGTGAACTTCCACATAACGCGTAGCAAGCTCTGAGGAACAGATCCTTGACCATCCAGGAAGCTAAAAACGGAAGTGGGAATAAACTTAAGTGTGGCTGTGGCCAGGCAAGATGTGATGGCGATCCAGCAAGAGTGGCACGGATCAACGATGTGGGTCGCACTAGGAGCCATACTCTCGATCGCGAAATAGTGTGAACTCGTACTGATCGCTTTCTCGCGACATATCAATGTCTTTGCCATCGCGGATCCTTAGCCCTATCCTGTGAAGAGTAACAAATGGAGAATACTTTCTTCCGAATATGAAACGTGGGTCATGGGAAGGACTTTGCACACCTTTGTTCTGTGTCACAAATGTCAGAAGTTGGTGTCGCAAACTGCTCAGCAGAAATTCCAAGATGAAGGCATGGCGGGGTCCTGTGGTGATGGTACCTTCGACATGGCTGGGTGTATAGGCCACAGGATGTCCTTCCTACCTAATGTGGGTAATCGAAGCAAGCATTAAACAGGGTTTCATCGATTCGAAGCAGCCGTGGACAAGTGAAGAGCAGTTGTGAAGCACTGAACTCCAAAACCCATAAGTCCATAAGTGCCGAAGCGAAACTCCGCATATGTCTAACATTAACTGACATGAGAGACCTTTACTTGTTCCAGCAATGTCAAAAACATTGGACACAATATTACTACCTTGAAAGGTTCTCAAATTCATTTCGAAATTAACCATCTTTTGACAGCGAAACATTCTTCGCGCCGCGAACGCGATAAAGTCGCTTTCTGTCCCAAGTGAACCCTACACGGAGAGGCAGAGGGGTGAAGCTCGGGTCGGGAGGGCGGCACGCGATGGCGCGGCGCTCTGTTCGTCTGCTCCTCCAGGCTTAGTCCACAGGGACAGTTACTCTTTCGCCATTATGTGGCAGTTTCAAAATACGCGCCATCGGTGACTAAGCCTTGGTAGAGCAGACGAAAACAGCGCCGCGCCATCGCATGCCCCCTCCCCCGAACCCGGGTTTTACCGACAGAGGACCACGAGTGGCTAGAGCACATACGATTAAAAAACGGCGCTCGGCTCGGCTTCGAATTCCAGGATGGTCAGGGCCCTAAGGATAAGCCTCCGACCATGTAATACAAATGACGACGACCTTCACAAAATGTTAATGTTTTCTGCCAATGAAATGATTAGCCTGTTGCAGTTGTATTCTATCGATTGTCACTAATTACAACTATCATTTACCAGAAATCAGCTATCACTATGAACAACTTCTAACCAGATTTACTTGGAGGCCGTCGTCAGTTGTGGTGTTTGGTCTGCACCCGACACTTTCTCGCTTTTTGAAGGGGAGGATAGTTGAAAGTCGCTGTTTAGGGTGAGAGGGAAAGAACGCAGATGAAAGCATTAAATTGAGGAAGTTTGAGGGACCGGTTTCAAGTAGCCCGTAGACCGCGAGGGTGAAAGCCACTCGCCGCTAAACATACACGGGAAAAAACGGCGGACGAGTTTCCGGACGAGTTTTTCGCGCTGCCAGTGTTCGAATTCTGGGCGAACAGTGCATTTCGTTGCGACAAAGGGTACTGTCCTTCGAATAACAATCGATCGGGGATTATACTTCAGAGTTCGTGCACAGAATGAGCAGGGAGACCCCGGTTGGAAGGAAAAGTAAGGTTTGCGGAGGAAACCGCATAAATCCGTGTGCCACCAAGAACTTCCCCCTGTCGAACACATTTTCCATTTCCTCCTCGAGAACAGAAGACTGAAGATTTCTAGTGTGTCCACACTACTCCATAATGCCAAGCTGGAGTTTGCATGAATAGGTAATCGGTAGTGACTTCTACGACTACTACTTAAACTAAGAAGTCGCTCTTGAGGACATAATCAAGACACGGATAGCTCGTATCGTGCTTCATTACTGCAAAACGCTATCTCTTCCAAGCAACACTAAGCATTTTAAGACGCTACCGCAAGCGACGGGGCATTGGCAGTGTACTCAAAACCGCGTTAAACATGTTCTTCTTGAAAAAAGGACAAAGCTTTCTTTAGGCGGGGGATGGGAGACTCCAATTAGTGAGCAAGTCCCATTTTCCCTGAAATTCCTACCACTCCTATGCTTAGTCCTAAAAGACACTCGCGTCATCTTGCGATTGCGTTCATATTCATTTGTTGGTTTCATGTCATGACTGCATTGAAAGATTCCTATCGCACAAATATCGATGATGAAAGTTCGTCATACTAACAGAGCAACTGCTTACCATCTGGTGTCGCGATATTGTAAGGCTAGGATTTAGAAGGACTCTAAGTCAGCGGCGTGTATGTATTGCTATTAGTAATGCTAGTGCATATGTACACGAACACATCCTACTTATCATACCCAGCTATGCCGAACTTGAACTTCGCTTGATCCCAGGTAACGAAACTGTGGGAATCATTTGCGACAGAATTACATCCCATCCCGAAATTACTGAAGTATCGAACCACGCAACTCGTACTCTTCATTTCCAATAATAGTTTTGATGACTTCCGCATTCAAATTCAGGTGGACGATCCCCGATGATCGATTGGCATTCAAGGAACTGAGCCTTGGTCCCACTAAGAAATGCACTGCTAGCCTAGAATTCAAACTGTTGTGGCGCGAAAAACTCGTCCGCCGTTTTTTCCCGTGTAAGTTTAGCGGCGAGTCATCATACTCACATTTGATTTCCGGAAATACTCGCGCACTTTCGCATAAATCGCGTTTACAAGAAATAAATTACAGTATCATACAACGATGACGAACCTTAACGGTATAGTGGGTAGTCGTCCAATGCCCATTGACCACATGCCTGACTGGATTCGTCCACCGTAGCAACTGTGTTGTGGATAGCCGCATTCTGATAAAGCACCTAAATTAAAGAACTATTCACACCTCGTTACTGCGCCTAAATTGTCGCGCGGAAGATGTCAGACTTCGGGTCTATTCCAGTTAGGGGGGCATCATGATGCAGTTTCTCGGCGAACTAGTGTGAACTCGAACATTCCAGCTTTTCACGCATGTCAAGTGACTGCCCTCACCCCCACCCCCTAGACTGGCTACACTCCCCTGGCTCGGAGTTACCCTAGCTTTCTGGAAAAACTGCATCATGATGCCCCCCCCCCTAACTGGAATACACCCTAGACTTCTCCTTCGCTGTCGCAGCTGCATAATCGCGACACCAAAAGCGGAGTCTAACACCTACCCGAATGTGAGTGCTGCGCTAGATGACATAAAACAACTAGCAGCACAGTTGCGAAAGAAAGAGAAAGGGGAGACATCAAGCAAAGCATCGAAAGCAGCGATCCTCCGTAATAATATGCTTTTCTCCGGGCCTCATTCAAAGGGAGGGGGGGGGCACGTCTCGACCCTTCCTACTGCTCAAAATGATCCATTTTTGCGCGGAAATCAAGCTCCGTGGTGGGTGTAGAAGCGGAAACGAAACGATGAACGCACCCCAGGGAATTCCTTCCCTGCAAGAATTGTGTTTTCTTGAGGCGGCCACCACTAGCTCTTCCCCTTACTGGATGAGACCCGAAGAAAATCCCAAATTTGAACAAGGTTCTAGTAAAAATGAAGCATCTCGCCGAAGAATTTGATGACATATTATTTCAGAGTATATCGCTGCTTTCAATGCTGTTGAGCTCGATTGAGCCTGAACTTCAATTTATTCATTCAAAGTGATATAATGGTGAGATAGTGGCCACTAGAGCAGTCCGTTGAAATACCGCAAGGTATGAGTCACAGGATGCGCACAGATGTGAAAAGTGAGAACCTCGCACGTGACTGAGCCCCGCAGGACTTGGCAGTCACGAGACAAAGTACAGCATTCCCACAAAATAACCGGGTTCCAGCCACCAGTAAGAGCAGCGTTGACAGTCGCCGTTCTCACTTATTCATTTTCCACGAAACACGTTATAGTATTCCAGCGGCACTTCCAAATAGGTTGTAGATGCCCTTCATGCTGTTTATCGTCAC